GAATATGGTGGTAAACATTTTTGCCTAGGTAAGTTATGAAAAAGTGTTTGGTATGCCAAAATTTTACCGAAAAAGTTGGGTTAATTTTACTGATATTGTGTTTAGTTGGTAGTAAAATATTGGTGGGATTTCGAAGCAAAATGACTAAATTACCCTTTCATTTTGAATCTTGAATATCTTTTCTATCAGGAAACGTTCGATGGTGGATATCTTTTCTATCATATATTTTAAGACATCTGCATGTCTTATCTCAAGGCAATTTTGTCTAAAAAATGTAAAACGCTTTTCACGGTTGATGGGTAAAAAAAAATACCACGGTTCAAATGGGATATTGTTTGCCAATGTAACGAAAAAAATATTAATGGGAATAATATTACACCATCATTTTTATCACATTCTCCATACCAAACAGAGTAAACAAATATTCCATTGTTATCAAAAAAAAAAAAACAAATATTCCACACCCCACTTTCCCAAGATTTCTATCACATTATCCATCCCAAACACTCCCTAGTGAGTCACAAGGGAAGAACTCTTGTGATCTTACTATTCATATAATTGAAGTTTTTGCTATACTAGGTCACATGGTTTTTACTCCTCTGTATTTGAGGAGATTTTCCATGTTAAAATTGTTGTGTGTTTTTTCTTTCCTTTCATCTCCATTTCTACAACTTTGTATTTTTGTGTTATTGCGTATTTGAGCCGACTTATCAATAGGTCGACCTCCAAGTGTCGAACTGGTGTGCTCGACTTGAAGAACTATTTGCTTTGTAGTGAAAGAGGGACCACATCCCAACAATAGTATCAAAGCTCGAGATTAAGGGTTTTATGAAGTGGTAAAGTTGGACGGAAGGGTTTCTCATGATGGAGACATGTTCAAACTTATAGCAGATGACTATCCATAAACCCTGAGTTTACTGAGATGTTGTCTCTCACCCCATTTGAGGATATATATTTCACATAAAGCAGTAGCAGGAGAACCATCACAGGGAAACAGACCCGCACATGGTTAGAGCAAACAGGATCAAGGAAGAATTTCTATGCTGGGATGTCTGCATTTTGTGTGCATGATATAGTACCGTGCACTACTATATAGACGAATATGTTTGTCAGAAGTTATATGTTGTGAATTATGGTATCAAGATTATGTACATGATGTATATTATGTTGTGCGATATTATGAGATGGACGACAGAAGTTATATGTTGTGAATTAGGGTATCAAGATTATGTACATGATGTATATTATGTTGTGCGATATTATCAGTGATGGCGCGGAGCCATTGTATGGTATTATATTTGATTACCTTTGCAAGGGGAGCCGTGTCATGGCAATCAAAACTCCAAATTGTGTTACACTATCAATGATCGAGGCCCAATATATCACCGCACCTGAAGCAAGCTAGGAGATGATATGGATGGAGAATTTCCTCCTTGATAGACAAGGCTACCTCTAGATCTCGCACAAAATAAGAATCTACCTATCATTCTCGCTAAAAACACACTAATATTCATTACCACTATATCCAATATATGATAAAGAAAAAACATATTCAACTAGAAAAGGTGCATATCGACTTGTATTGGTCTAGTATGATGACAAAGGCAGTACCAGTAAGAAAATTTGAAGAGTGCTGCAAGGGTGTCGTGCTTATAAACCATTGCATTAAAGTCAGAAATGGGAGATTTGTTGTGATATGTTCCTCCTTTAATGTTGTGGAAGTCGAGCATACAAGTTATTAATAGTGCGTGACTCAATGTCTGAATAAAAATTCCAATAATTGCAACCACTTCATTAAATGATGAAGTTTCCAAAAGAAGATGAAAGACCTAGCCCATTATAAAATGAGATGAAATTACAAAGAGAAATTTTAGTTGGTTAAAGAATTCCTCTATAACGGAAGATTGAGCGTGTAACCTCTTCAGAGAAGAACCTTGTATTACATCGTTGTGTGGGTGAAGAAGAATTCGTGTAATCCTCTAGTGAGTCACTAAGGTAGAACTCTTGTAATCCTACTATTTATATAGTGGAAGATTTTGCGAGACTAAGTCTCGTGATTTGTACTCCTCTGCATTTGAGGAGATTTTCCATGTTAAAATTGTTGTGTTTTTTCTTTTCCTTCATCTCTATTTATGCATTATTTTTGTATTTCGTGTTATTGCGTATTTGGGCTGACCTGTCAATAGGTCGATCTCCAAGTATGGAGCTAATGTGCTCGACTTGAAGAATTATTTGTTTTCCCACTAATAGAGGGACCTTGTCCCAATATACAAGGACAACGAAATTGTTCAACATGTTCTAAATATGACAGAAATTAAGAGTATTATGTTCTTAGGTTGGAGGAAAAAACAAATCATTGATGCAAGCAATATTACACACAATGAATTTCCTACAAAATTTGTAAGTAAATAATGATGTTCGAAATGGATGCCAAGAGAGAAAGGATTTGCTATTGGAAGATTGTCTCATGGAAATGGAGAAAATTTTAATATTGGGCTTTCGCTAAAACATTTGAATAGGTAAATGGACTTCACATATATAAGAACATTCAATAGTTCCACTCATGATTCATTCAATGATGCATGCTATGCTTTTGGTCTGCTACAAGATGAAGTAGAGTTTATTGACACAATCAAATAAGCAAGTTATAATAGCCATAACCTGATTAATTAGAAAATTGCATGTGATTAAATAATTAATCATGCATTATGGGATTTAATTAAGCAAAAGTCTTAATTAAAGGAATGAAGTCACTTTTTGAATAAAAGGTGCAGTTAGTGAAACTTTTAGGGTAAAAAAGTGTGTAGGAAAAATTACCTGGAATGTAAAAGTAAATTGAGGAATATGACGATAAAAATATTCCAAACTAATAGGTAAAGTTTGAAAGTGAGTTGAGGTAACTAGATCGATAAGTTTTTACCCAATTAAAGGTTACCTAACCAAAGTTAAGCTATTTTACTAAGTTTTTCTCACTTTTCCCTCACTCTCTTCGTGCTTCTTCTTCATCTTCTTCTTCTTATCCCCAACCATGCGACCATTGAAGAGGGACCAAGAAACCTAGCCTCTCCATTTCTCAACCAAATCCCTTGGTTCTTGGACCAATCTTGCTTAGAATTGAGAGGCAAACACAACCCCTAATCCATAATTTACCAAAGAACCTTGTATAGAGAGAAAAATGAGGTGAAAGTGGTGACCCGCTTGTGATTGAGAGTCTTGGAAGGTTATTTGATATACTTGGAGACTTGCAATCTCTTCCTTACATGATTCTAGGTGAGTTGGTGTTTAGAAATCCTACTTTCTTTGCATTTTAGGATGTTAGGTGTGTTAGGGTTCCATTATGAAAATGTGGCTCGAGATTGGGCGGTTTGGGCTTGATGTATGCTTAGGTCCTTTGTAAATGTTGTTAAGGATGAGAAATAATCGATAAAAATGAGTTTAAATAGTCATTTGGGCATACCATGATATTTTCAAGAATTCATGCTTGTGCTTATGAGTGTTCTAGCATTTTGAGCAATTAGTGAATTGGATGTCTGATTATGTCTCTTGTGTTGCTAGAATTGAGGTAAGTGGATCATCCTTGAGTAACCATCCATTGGAGGAAGTTATGAAGCTTGATTAGCTCACTTGAATTGGTATTAATTTGTGAAGCTTTGTTGATTGTTTATGGGTGGTGAACAAAGGTTAAGCTTAGAAGCACATTAAGGTAAGCCTTCAAAACTTGGTTATTGATCCCTTTATTGTTCCACCAAACCCTGAATGGGTAGTGGTTGTTGATAGTGTACGTGATTGCAATAAAGTAATTTAATGCTTTGTTATACGTATGTGTATGCATTGGGTGTGACACAGGATAGTGTTTCCCAATGCTTTGTATGTTGCATGACGATGCGTAATTCATACTTGGTAGATTCTCTAATCAGTAGGACTATTTGAATCTGAGTATCCTTAGGATGACATGAGAGCTCGAGAGATGTCTCCTGGAGATGTTTGACACACTGCATGGATATGTATTTACTGCATTATTTACTATTATTGCTATTATACTGTGAGTGAACTATGGGGTGAAGAGATGCTCCAAGGACCCCTGATTTACTGAGGTATATTCGTATATCTCACTCCATATTGTAGGGACCCCCTTTCAGGTACATATGTTGCAGGAGCCTCTGGTGGCAAGTGCTCATACTTGAGCTAGATGGTTATATGGGGATAGCCTGTTGTTTTGGATTGCATGCTGTCTAGGATTGTTAGATGTATTTGCCATTTATATCACCCCTTTTACATGTATATTTTGGAGGCCATGTGATGTATTTTGGAGGACTTAATCCATGACCATTGATGTGGTAATTGCCTTGTTGTATATGGCTAATAGCTTTGATCATGTCTTTTGATAGCTAAGTCATTTGGCATGTATTTATTTTGAAGAACATGGATGTAATTGAGATATTGATACATTAATAGAATGTCATGTTATGGTTTTGTCATTTTGATTAGTCCAATGAAATGGTATAAAAGATGTAACTATTGAGGCATTGATGTTGTAAGATTGTCAATTAGGTACCAAGAAGTTAGAGGATATAGGGAGTTAATTCCCCAATTGAAATAAATGAAAACAGGAGAATTTATGTTTTGCACAGGTAGAGGGCGCTTAAGGCCCCTTATGAGGAAGCTTAAGCGCCCTAAGACCGAGAGTTTTGAAGATTTAACCATTTGAGGGGGCTTAAGCGTCCAAAATGGAGGCTTATGCACGCATAGAGGGCTTAAGCGCCAAAAGAGAGGGCTTAAGCGCCCTGGTGAATCTGTGCGTGGAGAAATTCTCTGCCACAAGGGGCTTAATCGCGCACAGTGGGTGTAACAGCCCGTTGTACACCGGTATTGTTAACATTCATTATGATATTAAGCGCAGTTACAATCACAACAATTCATTTATAAAAATGCGAGTAAATTTTTTCCGTTTATTACGCGAGCATTTAAAACCGTAAAATGCGTAATAAATAAAAGCTGTGACCATAACGGTAAACTCTTGCAGAATACTTGTTAAACTATTTTTATATCTTATCTTACTCAATACAGGACACTAAGGGGAGAGCTACTGGATATATTCCGACTAAAACTATTTGTACCAACAGATGGAAATGTAGAGGCAAATGTAGCGCTTGAAGCAACACGTCCATTATCTTGATTTAATCTGTTGCTAAAAGTAAATATATTAGCAGGTGATGTCAACAATGATGTCGATGCTGCAGATGAAACAGCTGGCTCTGATGACGGAGGAGAAGATCCAGCAACTATATTAGTCTTAGCATCAGCATTATCTGATTCAAGAACTTTTGGCATTGAATCAACAGCAACAGGAACAGTAGTGGAGCTGCAAATGAAGGGAACATTTAATATATTTGTTCATTGTAACACTTCACTAAACATAATGTAAGATCCCTTATATCTCTTCACAAACCCAACTGAACAGTGTGTCAATAAGAACAGTATTATTATGATACATCACAGAAATCACAGTCAAATTGCAAAAAGTAAACACGAAAAAGTTCAAAATTCACTTTAAAAATGAGAACCAAAACTCAAGATAACAACTAATCACCACTTGATAAATTTGGCGAGTCAACGACCATGAAACTGTGAATGCAAAATGTGTTTTACAAATCAAATGACACCGGAACAGTAGCAGGGAAGAATGAAAAGTATTAAATTAAGACAAACTTATTATAGCAAACATGGGGAAAAGTAAAGTTATTGTGAAAGAAAAATATACTCCCATAACTCATTAGAGACATTCTTTTTTCTTTACTGAAAAGAAGTCAACAGAACAGACACAAATCTATATAAACTAGAAAATAATGTAGATGAGTAAAGGGTTATTTTGAGAGTGTTTTTAAAACAAGCCAAAATTACATACACTAACTTGATTGAGCTCGTCATCTTTGAGTCAGAAGAAGCACCAAATTTGAGACCACCAGATTCACCACCAACTGATGATGAGAAAGCAAATGGGACTTGGGGAACATAATCAACATTTTTGTTGATGCCAAAAGTTAAATAACGGAGCATCAGCACCTGGCTCCTTTGACGATGCAACTTTATCCAAACCAAATATTGGACCTGATTTAGTAGACTCCTTTGATGGAGCATCAGCAGCAGTCACCTCTGTTGACTGAACAACTTTATTCCCAAAGTTCAACAGGGGAGGATTAACAACTGATCCATTTTGTGAATTAAACTTCTCGGAACCCAAAATTGTGTGTGCAGCTACTGACACTGCACCCATTGTTGGCTTAAAAGTAGGATCAGGGATAGACGAATTTATGGACGTTGGTATATCAACCTTCTGACCAAATGTAGATCCATCAGCAGACCTAACAGGAGGTGAACCATCTGTTGTAAAACTTTTGGATGGCAATACTACAGATGAAGCTGGGGGAATCTCCTGTACATCAGTTTCAGTAGCAGAGGTAGTTTTCTCGGCCACAGCAGTGGAGCCTGTTGTTTCTTCCCAAGTATCAAGTTGCTGGAGTATTTTTGAGGCCATCTCGCTAGATTTTGAAGATAAAGGAGGAAAGCTAGTACTAGGCATGGTGTCATCAACATTTTCTGCTGACAATTTCGTATGCCTATGCTTAACTTCACCCAGCAGAATAGGCTTCTGCATGGAAGATGAAGGTTGCTGAGCAGCATCAATGCCAACTCTGTTCCTAGCTATAGATAAGGGGGCGCCTGAATGAGGTAAGGTTAAGCCTTTAGAAGATAGAAGATTACACTTGTGACGCATTCGGCGTATAGGACCAAAAGATCGTATATCATTATCTAATACAGAACTTCTACGTTTTAATGCCTGCTAAAAATGGGGAGGGAAAAAAGGTGAAATCCAGGAACATATCTCTGAAAAAGAACTCTAGAATGTACACTGAAAGGATAGGACTTATAATCACAAGTATGTAAACCCTTTGTTTAGAGCCAGAAAGCATATCATGATCCATCATCTTCAGCTCAGTATGCACTGGATCATGATATGCTTTCTGGCTCTAAACAAAGGGTATACATACCTGTAAAGTTAGAGAAACCCAATAAAAATCTCAACACTAGAAACAGAATTATCCAAAGTACCATTTAGTAAATGGCAAACCTTGAGCGTAGATATTGGATAAACTCTGGCATAAGGTGTTCGAGCCATTCTATATATTGCTGATCTTCCATGAGATCTTGGGGTCACAAAGCCATTTTCACGAACCCGAGCAAGGGTAGTTGCCCTTGGCACAATTGACATAACTGGGGATTTCTGAGCAAAGTGCTGATTTCTTAGTAGAGTTGGATCCTCTCTTGGAGGATTTCGCAAGCCCAGCATTGATTGGGATACCTTGGAAGGCCTGCTCCCCATGTAAGCCTTAGCAAGCTCGACAGGTGAAGCAACATCATCAATAGAAACCTATGGACAGCATATGGTTATACATGACCACTCCAAAAAATATAATCAAACTTATATATCAAAGATAGGTATGAATAAAATTGTCGTACGCTGGAAGTAACATATGGAGTTGAAACAAGATGGTTTTCAATCCCATTTTCTAGTGCTGGAGTTTTGGGATATTCTTCAATTTGAACACGAGGCAACATTGGATCTGATGGAACCACTTCTGTCCTCTTCCCGTCTTCCCCAACAGGTGGATCCACGGTTCTTGAACGGATAAGCGTTGTCAAATGATCAATCTCAGATCTGCGGAAAAATAGACACTTACCATGAACAAAGTCCAAAAAGCTTATCGAGTGAATAATGTTTAAGAATATAGAATGACATGAACTTGATATGGATACCTAGAAGAAGCAAATTGTAATTTTTGCAACAAGAACTTCATAAGCTTCAATAAGTTACACAGAAAGTGTAAAATACAAAACAACAACCATCAAGCATTATCCCACCAGGTGGGCTCAGCTACATGGATCAAATGACAACATTGGGCTAAATTAAAAACCAAACAATTGTATAATTGTTCAACAATCCTTGTAATAAAAATTAAACAAACCTTTATAATTTGTCACGTGACATGCAACAAATTATCACATACATATATATACATGTTACATATAACATGTATATATGGATTAAGTGTTTCTCCTTTTACATGAGATACCTAAAACCATGTCATTTCGAGTTTGGGGAAAAAATTGTCATGATAATGACTAATACAGCCCCAACATGTACCAAATTGACAAAAAAAAAAAATCCCCCCAACACCAATATGACTTTGTTTTGGGGTCAGAGAAAATAATTTTATCTCTTGTAACATGAGAAACATTTAACCCTATATATATACACACACACACACACACACACACACACACACACAAAAGCGAACAAAAAACAAATCTTCATAAAAAATTTCATTCCTCAAAGTAGAAATTACATATTTACATTCAAGAATTTGCTGCTTAAGGCAGAAAAAGAGAGAGAGGATAGTAAACAAACATCATCTAACATTGAATCATATTTTTCATTTGAAAAATTAACTCACTTTACTCTATCAGGAATCAAAACCAAATGTATAAGAAACAAAAAAATATAAATCTTAGCTATAGCTTCACTAATCATAATTTGGGAGCTAATGGAAAAAAGCAACAAATCACTATAAACAACAAGATTAATAGTACCAGCTCTTCCCACAAATATATATATATATATATATATATATATATAAAAGTCACATAAGAATTTCTAATATTTAAAATCAAGATAACTACAGGAAACCATCAAACAGTTGCAAAATATCAAACCTCGTGTGCACTCATATGGAATGCCCTCTTTTTGTGTGGATGATAAGAAACGGCTCCATTAGGGTAGGCATCATCAAGTATTTTTGAGGCCATCTCGCTAGATTTTGAAGATAAAGGAGGAAAGCTAGTACTAGGCATGGTGTCATCAACATTTTCTGCTGACAATTTCGTATGCCTATGCTTAACTTCACCCAATAGAATAGGCTTCTGCATGGAAGATGAAGGTTGCTGAGCAGCATCAATGCCAACTCTGTTCCTAGCTATAGATAAGGGGGCGCCTGAATGAGGTAAGGTTAAGCCTTTAGATAGAAGATTACACTTGTGACGGATTCGGCGTATAGGACCAAAAGATCGTATATCATTATCTAATACAGAACTTCTACGTTTTAATGCCTGCTAAAAATGGGGAGGGAAAAAAGGTGAAATCCAGGAACATATCTCTGAAAAAGAACTCTAGAATGTACACTGAAAGGATAGGACTTATAATCACAAGTATGTATACCCTTTGTTTAGAGCCAGAAAGCATATCATGATCCAGTGCATACTGAGCTGAAGATGATGGCTCACCTTCAACAGCAACGCCAACACCCTGTAAAGTTAGAGAAACCCAATAAAAATCTCAACACTAGAAACAGAATTATGCAAAGTACCATTTAGTAAATGGCAAACCTTGAGCGTAGATGTTGGATAAACTCTGGCATAAGGTGTTCGAGCCATCCTATATATTGCTGATCTTCCATGAGATCTTGGGGTCACAAAGCCATTTTCATGAACCCGAGCAAGGGTAGTTGCCCTTGGCACAATTGACATAACTGGGGATTTCTGAGCAAAGTGCTGATTTCGTAGTAGAGTTGGATCCTCTCTTGGAGGATTTCGCAAGCCCAGCATTGATTGGGATACCTTGGAAGGCCTGCTCCCCATGTAAGCCTTAGCAAGCTCGACAGGTGAAGCAACATCATCAATAGAAACCTATGGACAGCATATGGTTATACATGACCACTCCAAAAAATATAATCAAACTTATATATCAAAGATAGGTATGAATAAAATTGTCGTACGCTGGAAGTAACATATGGAGTTGAAACAATATGACACTACAAATGAATATGTTTCCCCTTAAAGTTGAATGCCCCAAAAGAACCCTTGTGGAGGGTCCTAAAGAACGAATTGTGCTAACTAAACCTATCTTGGAATGCAATATGACACTACAAATGAATGTTTCCCCTTTAAGTTGAATGCCCCAAAAGAACCCTTGTGGAGGGTATCAAAGCACGAATTGTGCTAACTAAACATATCTTCGAATGCAATATGACACTACAAAACGAATATGTTGCCCCTTAAAGTGTCCTTAACTACATCGAAGATACAATATACACCTAGATAGGTTGGAAGACAAAAAATAAATAAGAGGCATAAAAATTAATATAATTTCTTTAGCATGAACACATATATTGCAGTAGCTTTGGTATAATATTAAGACATTGTCATTAAACAAAGGAACACCCAAATTATTTTTCATAGCATGATGGAAAAATAAAATCACACCCAAAAAATTATTCCTATGAAAACAGCAAACAACATATGTGAAGCATGCATACTTACAAAGACAGCTGCTTCCTGGTGATTGTCCCTCGCTTCCTGCACTGCTTCTGTGCCCAAAAAAAAAAGGTAAATAAATATACATAACGGAAAAACATTGAATCATGTGATTTACTTTAATATAATAAAAGGACACACCAAGGTTATCAAATCACAATTCAAATCATGAATCGCCAAGTTACTTTTGAATCATGAATTAGAAATCATATCAAATCGTAAGATTCAGAAACACAATAAAAAATAGCTCCAAATATATCACATAAATAATATATTATGTACACTGCTCAATGTATGAATAAAAAAACAAAGTCTTACGTCAGAAAGTCATAATTGAGTGTCGCCATCAATTCAGATGTAAGATAATAAATAAAAAACTAATAACACATAAGTAACCAAGTCCAAAAATACTATGGTCTTTGGGAGTGTCAAGACTTTATTTCAGAGAAAGAGGAATAAAAAAATAAGCTTTCTTGGGTCTCAGAATCCCACACTTAAAAAATAGTGCTGTTGATAATGGTATCACGAAATGTACCATCCAAGTGTAATTTGAGTACACAGCAAGGCCAAAACACACTGTTCTACTTTACCCTTTATTTAAAAAAAAAATCATGTGTCCTTGACCTTCAGGTCGCATTGGGTCATACACAACCGGACATCGCGACCCGCATTACCCAAATAATTACAGTGGCAACGCAATCTTCGTACATTTCTTTCTGCACTAGATTATGCAATACTAAATTCATGGTGCAATTAAGGCCAGCCAGCAATTCAATCGTTGATCTGAATCGTTCACCCATTGACTCAAATCAAATCATACAACTGATGTTGTGAATCATCCGCTTTTGACAACCATTAACATTGTCGCACACAATGAAAAGGAAAAAATAAATCAAAAGTCACTGAAAAGTTACAACAAAAAGTTACCCATAGTATATACCATTATGAAAAGTTAGGAGAGCAGTGAGCCCACAGAAAAATTTCATAGCCTTTGGCCCCCATTTCTCATTTACAATGTCCTACTCTCAGCTTAGAAATTAGATATGCAAGCCAAAAACTTAATCACTGAGTTACACTATCATTTGTGTACAAATTATACCATGTCTATCATGTTCTTGAAGATATTGTTCACAAACTATGGGAACCAGTCTAAGACTCTACATCCAATTCATTTACCTCCCTATTTTTGAATGTTAGTCTCACCGAGTTCTAAAAGAAGGCAAGCCCGTAGAATTGGTAAAGTTGCTTCTTTGTGACTGAAACGTCATGGGTTCAAATCCAATAAACAGTTTCTTTACAAATATGAGATAATAAGGCTACGTACAAGGATTGCCCTCATCTCAACCCTCACTTGTCGGTTCGGAGAGTGATTTTAGTCTTGCTGAGTTCTATCCTTTTAACCGAATCAACACATACAAATTCAATGTAATAATTCATTCATGATATGTTTTAGCACTGCCCTAACTATTGGGGTCCTATGTTGGGTAGAAAATCAAAGACTTGTTATTAAGTGTAGTGACTATCAGAAGATTACAAAATTTTCAAGCTTTCAGAAACATAACATCCCACAATATAGGAACTAAAAATCAATTACTTTTGAAACGTAAAACGATAATCAATAACAATAACAACAAAATTGCTAACTTAAATGCTTTCAAAATTGAAGTATTTGACATTATTTAGTAGCAATAACACCGAAAGAGATTAGATTTACTCAGAAACCAAAAAGGAAAAAATATTGAAAAACAAAACCAGCAATTCGCATAAAAAAGTTAATAAAAAATAATAAAAATCACAAAAGCTTCGTTCAATTAAAATGAATTAATAAGTTAATTTAAACAAAAAAAGGGGAAAGATACCTGAAGAACGTGGTGGTGGTGGTGGTGGAGGAAGGCGCTTGCGGAAGACGGAGGCGAAGAGCATGTTGGCGCTAGAAGCGATGAGCCTCTGTGCGGGATCAACGAGCTTCGAGAACCAACCATTGTTCCTGCTAGGGTTTCTCAGCGCTGTCAGCAGCCGATCGAACGGCGTCGTTTGCGTTCTCCGAAACGGTCGTTTTCGGAACTTGCCGAACCCTCCTCCACCTTCGTAAGGGTTCTCATCACGCGCCGATGCCATGAGAGAGAGAGAGAGAGAAATTTAGAGAGAGAAAACGGGGAAGGAGCTTTCAATTTCAACGGAGAAAGTTGAGAGCGCGCAAAATTAGTGTTTTAATTATGGGAAAAGTATCTATGCTTTTGAAGGATGTAACACTACATCATTTTAAATAAAACGCAGCGTTTCGTTTGAAAAATCAGTTCATTTCTTTGTTCCAAATCTATTGTCCCTTTTCATCTCTCTGCAACCAAGCGGTATTCTTTTCCCTCACTCAAACTTGCTTTTCCCTCATTCACTTTTCCATTCTCATAGTTGGTTTTTCTTCCCTTTCATCACCAGCCATCTTATATGAAGGAATCCGATGCGAGAACCTATATAACTCATTAGGTGGAACACAAAATAAGCGAACTCCATTCTGCACATTTTGCAGAAAGAGACTAACAAACCCTTTCACTTTGCCAACATAAGCAACTTTAATGCCAACATCTTCATCAAAATCAGATAGGACTTCCACATATTCAAATTGATACTCTGAATGATTTTCTGGATTAGAACTCCATTATTTCTATTTCATGACACTTGACAAACTTTTTTTTTGTTTTTTGGACTTTGATTCATGTTATGCGTATATCTGATTGTGCTTACTTCCCAAATTTATTTTTTCTCTTCTTCTTTTTTCCCCATTTTTAGAGCTGTGAAAATACTTGATGGAGGATAAGTCGAGGTGTCTGAATTTTTACAGATTTGATTTTTGTCCCTTTATTTGAATTAGCATCATATAATATACGTTTTTATATAGATTATAAGTCTCCATTATTAAAAACAGATTCCATGTCTCTTTGTTCTGAGAAATTGCACCTCAAATATAAAATTGATGGTCATTCTATATTGAACTTGATATCAGATTATTTTTGGTAGATTTGAAGTTATAGTGTGGTACGATGATAATGATTACAAGAGTCAAATTGATCTTCTCACAAAACGTGGACAATAGGTTTTGCTTCTCCTATCAACCATCCCTAATCCCCCTTTCCGCTTAAATGTGAAGAGTGTGTATCATTATTGAAGCATCACTCCTTTAAACCATTTCATTAGAATTACCAGAGTTATATACTATCAGCAAAAATACTATTTGCTCGAGTTTGATTACCTCCTTTATATTGCTTTGGTTTATTTTAGTACAATTATTGTCTTGGGGACATTTTCTTTTGACTTATATACTATTGGTTCCTACACCATGGCTCCATAATCGATTGAGTTCCAGCAACTATTGGTTCCTCAACAAAGGATATTTTCATGGTTGATAGGATCAATGTACTACTTTACAAAAAAAATCCCCTGAAAAATCTTCTACAAAATGGGGATCACTATTAATTTATAGGATCAATGTATTAATTTATAGACAAAAGTGATCCTACAAAAAATATCCCATCCAAAAATCTTATACAAAATGGGGATCACTATTAATTTATAGGATCACTACTAATTTATAGACAAAACTACATTACAAAAAATATCCCATCCAAAAATCTTCTACAAAAAATGTCACCAACCTGACAAATAGTTATCTTTGTACCTGAAAAATCACAATAAGTAAAAATATAAGCAGCTTTGAACTCATAATTTGAAATTAGAATATCTAAAAACTGTTCGTAATAAATTGGTGCTTACCAAAATACAATAGCTAATATATGTGCAATAAAACTACTCCTTTTGCTTCTCTCTTGCAATATCCATCTACAAATGAATTAGAATAAACTCATTATCAAGTTTAAGATTGAAAACACATCTATAAAGAAATACCTTGCGCTTCTCACAACTGGTTTTATTGTGACCCTTTCCTCCACAATAACTACAAGTCTTATGTTGTTTTGAAATCAACTCAATGCTTGATTTCAATCGTGAAGCAACCTTTGGACGCCCTTTAGTTTTGACTGGATGCATGGGATCACGCACATAGTTAATGAGTGAAACTTGTGAAAGAATTTCGGGAGTTAGTGAAGGAACAACTTGGGGAATTGCTTCATCTTCAATTATATTTCTCTTTCTTTCCAGTTGCTGTCTAATAAAGTCAGCAAGAAAATCATCAAACTTTCTAATTTCAGACATACAATCTCTTGCTTCGGAAATAGCCATATTGCACTTGGAGTGAAGCGACCACAAGAACAATGCACTAACTTCCTTAGTGGGTGTATCAGCATGATCACCTACAAGATTTTCAACCTTATAGCTTGCATTCATGGTCCATCTAGACAAAATATATTTTTCAGGAAGGGTTTTTAATTTTTTCCTCCTCATAATATATAGAATATGTTTGCACAAAATTCCCATAGTCTGAAATTTTCCACAAGAACAATCAGCTGTGAAGGTTTCTGTCAAATGATAGTCAACAATTGCCCACCACTCTTTATCAACTTCGTGAGACCCCACCTTGTACCTAAAAGAAAAGGAGATCAAAGAAAACCATTTGAAATCTTTTGCATCAATTTAACATATACTCCTAATTGTACCTGATTAGATCTTCATTCATTAAAATCTTTTCATGCTCATAATGAAGAACAGCTTCCATCCACTCCTTTTTAAATATATTAAATATTTTTCTTGTGTAACGCTCACCAGCTATTGCTTCAATTTGATGAGTAGTCTCCAAAATTGCTTTTGTATTTCTAGTTTTAAAATCTTCATCTTCTTCAGCATCCCTCCTACTCTTAATTGCTTTGTCATATTGAGTAACAAAGTCATTTAACATTGTGTTGGAGTTGACGTATCCATCAAAAAAAGCATTGATGCTCTCACTTCGGCCACTTGTGGTCATTCCAGCCCAAAAAGTATCTTTCAAATATACCTTTGCCCAATGATGACGTGAAACATACATGTTAGCCAACCAAGTTCCTTCTTTAATATCATATTTAGTCTTCAATGATTCCCAGCTGCCTTCAAACTCATCAATGCTTCGACTTTTATACCATGCACGAAAGTCAACATCAAAACTCTCCTTAAATTGTGAGCGTAGTGCTTGAGTGTGTTCCATAACATGTTTTTTCATGTGCCACGCACAAAAACGATGTCGTGCTTTTGGAAATATTTTGGCAATTGCTTTTCCAATAGCTTTGTCTTGATCAGTGATAATAGCAATAGGAGACTTATCAAACATACATTCCAGAAATTGTTCAAACAACCATGTAAATGTTGCCTCTGTTTCATCTTCTAACAAAGCGGCTGCAAATAAAATTGATTGCCCATGGTGATTAACCCCAACGAAAGGGGCAAAGGGAAACTTGAACTTATTTGTTTGGTAAGTCACATCAAACACAAGAACATCACCAAATTGAACATATGCTGCTCTTGACCTACCATCCGCCCAGAATACGCTTCTTAATGTTCCATCTTCGGCTAAATGCATATCAAAATAAAAAGATCCATCAAGAACAGACTTCCTTTGAAAGTGTTTAATGATGCCTTGACATTCTCGCCCCACATTATTCTTTCGTTGGCTTGATATAATAGTGGAGATTTGCACTGGAGTAATATTAACTTCTTTGTCCATAGCATTCACCACCTTTGAGATTTTTGAAGAAGTTAAACCCTCCTCAGAAAGCATAGAAACAAGAGATTTAGTAAACTTTGAGCGTCGTAATTCATTCTGAGAAGAAAACTTCTTCACCTTTGATGGAGTGTTAATCAATGAATGATTGTGTGTATCATTGAACTTCTCCACTTTCCATACTCCATCCACCAACTTTATTTGTAACATCGCCAAACAATTAGTCCTTGTATCCCTTCGCCTTTTAACTACTTTATCATTCACTTTCTTGATGCCTTCTTTCGAACACACATACCTCCACCTATATATTTGCTGTGTTCTTGCACTCTTGTTAAAAAATTGCTTACGTATTCCAAACCCCTTACCTTTTGCATGATCATTATAAAAAACATAAGCTTCTTCTGATGTCCCAAAGACCCTACATAAAAAACTAGTCTCACTAAATTCATTGATATCATCTCCCACAATTTCAAGTACAACATTTTGCACATGATCACCATCTTCATCTTCCATAATTTCACACTCATCATCATCAACAAACTCATCAGTGTCTTTCTCCAAATCAACAACATCATCATAACGTGCTAAACTCCCACTCACGTCAATGTCTTCAATAGTTATTATTTGGGAGTGATCCATTATAACAAACTCATGATTGTCTTTCTCAATTGAATTTTGATGCACTGAAACACTCTAGTAATTCTAATGTGATGCCTTAATATCTTTTCAAACTTCTTAGACATTTGTAAAATCAGATAAAATTGATAGTTTTGCACACAACCTATATTCACAAGACCAAAAAATAAAACACCTTAGTTGAAATAAATCATATTTGATGTAGAGGATATCATCAGTAAAAGAATTATTTAATTAATGAGTCATATTTGATTAAAAAAAATATCACACCCATAGTTGAAATAATTGCACTTGGGTTTTGTTGATGTAATATGAAAACTAAAAACAAGCTCATGAAATAGTTGCAAACTTGAAAGCCATCAAAATATGTTAATACAGCAGCAAAGGGGAAACCATAGACACATATACAATTCTATTTCATTTGCCAAATTAAACATGGTGCGTTAATTGATTAATGAGAAGCTGAAAATAAAAAATAGAAAAAAACCATGCCAAAGCTGCAAAGTTTAATGCTATCAAAATAGGAGCTAAGGAAGACCCCCAAAAAAAAAAAAATTAAATAGAGGGACAAAAATCAAACCTGTAAAAATTCAGACACCTCAACTTGCCTCACAACTCCTATATCCTCCATCAAGTATTTTCACAGCTCTAAAAATGGGGAAAAAAGAAGAAGAGAAAAAAAAAATTGGGAAGTAAGCACAATCAGATATACGCATAACATGAATCAAAGTCCAAAAAAGAAAGTCCGTCAAGTGTCATGAAATAGAAATAGGGTTTTTGATTTTACCTTTTCATCTATTGGTTGCATTGGTGGTATTTGCTAATCTTCTATTTTTGTGTTTCCTTTGCTTGATGTTTATCGCAGCATCTCTTTCCGCCTTCAAGATAAATCTGAATCGATGGTTTTATCAAAGTGTTTAGGTGAGAACGAAATCGAAGAAAAACCAACTATGAGAATGGAAAAGAGAATGAGGGAAAAACAAGTTTGAGGGGAAAGAATACCACTTGGTTGCAGAGAGATGAGAAGGGACAATACATTTGGAACAAAGAAATAAATTGATTTTTCAAACGAAACGCTGCGTTTTATTTAAAATGATGTAGTGTTACATCCTTCAAAAGCATAGATACTTTTCCCTTTAATTATATGGAAAGAGAGAGAGAAATAAATAAATAAATATTTATTTCAGAATAATAACGAAACATGGGACTGTGTGAGAGATAGAGAATCTCACTCCTTTCTCCTTTTTCGTCTAGTTTTTTTTTTTAAAGTCATAATAATAACAGTACTGAATGTCATTTCTCATTAGAATCACTTTGAATTGAAATTTAAAATTAAAATGAAATTACTAATAAATGAATGGTACTAACAATTAATTAGTATTACTACAAATGTTACTACTAATGTTACTACCAATTAATTTCATCGTTATATCAATTATGTTGATCATCTAATTGATTATATTTATTTCCATCTTTGTATGGTCATGATTTTCCATATTTAATGTGAAAACATTAAATATGAGAAATCATAATCATATAAAGATAAATATAAATATAAAGTATTAAATATAGAAATCATAATCCTACACAGATGGAAAAAAAAAATAACCGTTAATCAACATAATCGATCTAACGATGAAATTAATTGATAGTAACACTGATTAATTGTTATAATATCATTTCCCTTTGAGTAAGACAGACAAGGGTGGGCTTCTAAGTTCTAATGTATCGATTTTATACTCTAAATTTTAAATCCTCCAATGAAATATATTTGTATGTTTTGCGACGGGGAGTGAGAGAAAAAGAAAATGCAAAAAGAGAGAAAAAAAATTTCTTTAGGTGCTGTTTGGTTTGGGTCTTTTGAATATTTACCTATCTATATGAACTAAGGATTTCTTAAAGCCCACGTTTGTTTTGAAGGATTTTGTCCAAATAACTATCTATCTAAGTTGCATGTGTTTCCCAAGTTTGACTCAAAAACCAACATTTTTGCACTGTTTAGAAAGCAAAGTTGCATGTGGTTTTTGATAAAAACCCGGATATGCTACTGTAGACACACTTTTTGGTGACCCATTATACCCTCCTCGATGATAAGATTTTGTCTTCCTTCTGTGGTCAGCAGCTGGCGTTGAGTTTTGCATAGAGGCGTGGGTTGAAGAGCAGTTGTTGGAGTTGGCTTTCCCGGAAGAACACCGAATTGCATGGTGGTTGTCGACAGAAGGTTTGTTTCCTCCAGAACTATCGACCTGATCCAGCTTCTCTTTGTTCATCTTTGTCTCTTTGATGTTTTGTAGATCCTGGTTCCATCCCCATCGTATGCCAACACAGCGGAGTCTTCGTGTTCCGTTTTAGTGAATCTCATCCACTACTCAGAATCACAATCTCTCTTTGGATTTCGGTAATCTCAAGCTTTTTAGTGAATTTTTGTTGACTTCTACTTTACCCCCTCTCTTCTCTGCCTTGGGGTTTTCATCATTGTTTTGAGTAATTTCAAGCTTTAAGCAAGATCGAGTGTGTATCCATAGTTCTGCCTGGTACCCAATTGGGAAAAGTTGAGATTTGGTATCATATCGAGAAAGTGGGTAGATTCATTAGTTAAATTGTGTTTCTGAGCCACAATCTCTTAGTTAGTTGGAGCTTGACGATTATGAGTTGATTGTGTTGTCTAAGTGAGATTGATTTGAGTTTGTGTATTAGAGGATTATGCCTTGGGTGCGTGTTTTCAATTTAACATAAAAAAACTATTGGGAGGTTGTGTGTTATATTATTAGGAAGAGTAAGCATGAAGAGAGGGAAGGATGATGAGAAGATAATTGGGCCAATGTTCCCTAGACTCCATGTCAATGATACGGAGAAGGGAGGGCCAAGAGCACCACCTAGGAATAAGATTGCACTCTATGAGCAGTTTAGTATTCCCTCTCAAAGGTTCAAGCAGGTGTTCTGCCACTCAACCCAAATATTTTTTTGTGACCCAGCTTATATTATGATGGGTTTTTGCCTGGACAAAGTGTAACAGGGGCTACCTTAATTCCATTGTGACCCAGCTTATATTTTGATGGGTTTTTGCACTACTATTTCTCATCCAATGTAGGCCTCAGAGAAACATGTTGACTATGGTTAGAGTGACCTTCGATTGGTGTCATTGATGAGAAACATTTTTGTTAAATTTCTTAGGTGGCTTAAGGTGAAGTTTAGTGAAGAGGTTAGTGAGTAATATATTGTTAATTTAGTGAGGATTGAGGAATGTAGGAAGAAGGGAGCATGGATGCATCACCCCTGAGGTTTTGAATTACAAAATAACAAAATGCTAGCCAAGTCCTGCCCAATCTAAGAAAGTTGCCCTTTTGTTGTGAATGCAAGAAAGCACTGCTATATAAGAACTGCAGAATGCAATTTTTAAGGTGAGACGTACATATTGTCCACATGTAGTAACAAATGGCCTGAACTAACTGTGATTGTGGTTGTGGTTGTGTCCTTCAAAAACCACTGAAAACCGTGATTTGTAACTTGTGGTTGTGTCCTTCAAAATCCACTGAAAACTGTATAAACAGGCTTGTTTGAATAATTAAGGGGAATATTATATTTTTAAATTTTTTATTTATAAACTTTTAGAAATTATATTGTATATTCTGGAGAGTGTACACTCAAGTATATATGTATATTTAAAAAATTTATAAATATAATCCTTATTTTTTTTATACAGTGTTGAGAATTTGGAATTGGAAGGTAGAAAACTCAAATTGGTCCAAGTTTTATTCGGGCTTATATAAGCACTGCTATATAAAAAGTATTATCATTGTATCATGTGTAGTATTATTATTATTTCACCTTTGACAAGTAACACCTTTGTTATTTACTCCTTCTGGCATGCATCTTATTCTTGTCTTACATTTTTCTGCTGTCTTTGGTTGATTAAGCTATTTTATTATGTTATTTTTTTTTAGAAAAAAAGGCTATGGAGTACCATCTGCAGTAGACTTAAAAAGGTTAAATGATAAAGGAAGATAAATTATAAGAATAGAGCAGGTTGTTCATTAATGTTTATTATCTTCATATTATACATAAACTTCATCTCTCATAACATGATTTCAAAGGAATCCAATTTATTATGAATGATCTCCGTGAGATGTTATGTTTCCAAATATACAAATGTTTATTAACTTCAATACGATGAGTAAGATACATTTTTTTTTATTACTTAACTTATTATATTTGTCCTTCACGTGTTAGATAATGGCCATCGACAATGGAATGGATTTGAGTGTCATACTCGTACTCATTACATCGCATTTGGAGTCTTTGCATCAACTGACTAACATGCTTGTCAGTATATGTGCTGTTTTGTTACGCATTGCTGAAAACCGGAGAAATAGACGCATGAGAGTCTCAGTGGACCATCGTCGGAGGGCTAGAGTAAGGGAAGTCAACTTCCTTAGGATTGTTCACATAAGTGACACGGCGTGTATAGAGAATACAAGGATGGATAGGAGGTGTTTTCATAACTTGTGTGAGTTGCTTAAAACCGTTGGTCAACTTCAACCGACGAACTATATGGGTGTAGAGGAAATGGTTGCAATCTTTCTTCACATATTGGCTCACGATGTCAAGAACAGGATAATTAAAAGACAGTTCATGAGATCGGGAGAAACCATTAGTAGACAGTTCTCTAATGTTTTGCTTGCAGTGTTACGTTGTCATACTGTTATACTAAAACGACCTGAGCCAATCCCGGAAAACTCGACCGATGATAAGTGGAAGTGGTTCAAGGTTAGTTACTAGTCCACGTCCTTGTATAATTCAATTATACATTTCAATTACCAAGCGTGTGTCCGTGTTACTAATTTTATAAATTGAATTATAGAATTGTTTGGGAGCACTTGATGGGACACACATAAAGATTAACCCCTTACAAGCGGATAAGGCCAGATACCGGACTAGAAAGGGTGACATAACAACTAATGTTTTAGGGGTTTGTTCTCAAGATGGTCAGTTTATTTTCGTCT